TGTTATAGATGGTAATTTACTTAAATTCAAAAATTTTCTAGACCTATCTAATCGATTATATCCAATCCCTTCTCTGTTTAAAGTACATCTTTGAGATTTCAATAAAGCATCTAAGTTAGATCTTCCTAGTGTAAATTTTGAAAGTGTTTTGGTAAGATACTTGATTCTTTCTAAATGATTCTCGTAGTTATCACATTTATCCACAAAATTCTTACTATTTTTTTCTAAGTTCTCTAATTCTGTTTTTAGATTTTCATTTTCATTCTCAAGTTGTTTTAACCTATTTTCTAGTCATCTATTTTCACCTTTAAACCTATTATTAGAGTATGCTAATCTTTTAGCTTCATCATGCATTTCATTAAAAGCATCTAGTAATTGGTAATAACTATTTTTATCGTTAGACGCAGCAGTACTTATACTGAATTTGTTTGATGTTTCTGTATCTGCCATTAAGCAAAAATTTTCCTCTTCATTTGAGTTTCAGCTTGACTCACTGGAAGTGCTTGAGACATTGTCTTCCCAAGCAATGTATGCCTTCTTCTTTTTTTACTTCTTGGTTTCCTCCCTTTCTTCTAGTTTCTGCTTCATTTTAAAAATTGCACAATCTGGTTAGATGTGCCCAGGTTTTCCATATTCATAGCATGTAGGGACATTTCTTTGTTCCTGTTTCTTGAAATGTTTGGAAGCAAATTTGTTAGCAGATTTATTTTTATATTTCAAAAATTTTGACAACCTTTTTACCAGTATATTCAAGTTTTCACTGTCATAATCCTCTTTTTCATTTCCTTGCATGAGATCACTCCTTTTTGCAGCAGTTTTCAATGCATTAATGTTTCTTCTTTCAGTTTCTTATTCTTCTTTGAGTCTTCCCAGTTCCAACTCATGTTCCCTTAATTTTCCAAACAATGTAGCCATATTTATTGTTGTGAGATCTATTGTTTCTGAAATATAAATTACCTTAGGTTGTCAACTTTTTCCTAAACTCTTTAGAATCTTGATATTCAGTTCTTCTTTGTCAAAGATCTTCCCAAGAGCCATCAAATGATTTACAATATGAGTTAATCTTTTCTAAACATTATAGATGTTTTCTCCCGTCTTCATTCTGAACATTTCATATTCTTAAATGAGAGTATTCTTTCTTGCTCTCTTTACTTATTCAGTTCCTTCATGGGTGACTTCAAGAACACTCCACATTTCTTTGACTATTTCACACACATAGATTCTATATAATTCATCAAGTGTTAATGTAGAAGAAATAATATTCCTAGCTCTAACATCATAATGAACTCTTTTATTCTCATCAGGAGTCTATTCATTAAAATCTTTGACAATTGTTATACCATCTTTATCCTTGGTTGGTTGAAAATGACCATTAACTACAACATCCTAAACACCTTTATCAACATATTCAAGGAAAATATTCATTCTTATTTTCAAAAAGGATAATTTTCACCAAAAAACAAAGGAGGTCTATTTATAGATGCACCTTCAGCAAAAGTTTGAGAAATATTTGTCATTCTTTTCGGATCAAGATCAAGTAACTTTTGATAAGCCAACTCCGAGACCAATTGTTAGTAAAATGTTAATGACAGAACTTTCCCAAGAGGGGGATGAATTGGGTTTTTAAAATTTTTTTGAATTTCTATTAGTTAAAGAAATTTTCCTGATAATCAATTAAGAAAGAATTATTATAGTTTATAGAAAATCAATATACCAAGATAGAGAAAAGAAGAAAAGACACACAAATTTATTCTGGTTAAATTCTTCTTGAATCTACATCCAATTTTAACTAAGTAACCTTAGCCTAGAGTTTTTCACTCAATAACAGATTTACAATCTAATCAAATGATCTTGATTAACAACAACCTCTAATCAAGATCACAACACTTGAAAATGTTCTACCTCACAATTTTCAAGTTACCTTGATGTAGTTAGTCTCACATACATCAAAATTTAAGAACAAGATATGAAAGAAAGCGATGAAACGAATTCACCTTGAATTTACAGAATTATGCACCTACAACCAAACAACTTTTCTTTGAAATTGAACTTTAAAATCTCTTGTAAAATTATGCTTTTTCCATGATGCCCAAAACATTCTTTCTAATTGCTTGTGTTTGTGTTTGAAAAATTGATATTGATGAAAGAAAGTTTGCAACCTTTTATAAAAAAAAAATTGTTGCAACTGTCACAAATAATCGATTACTAGATTTATCTAATCGATTATTTGAGTGCACTTGTAGTTTGAAAATAGTCACATAATCGATTAGATGCTTACATAATCGATTATTAGCACGTTTTATGAAAACTTAATTTTAAATTATATAATCGATTATCCTTTTATCTAATCGATTGTTAGCGTATTGTTTTAACATATTTGATTATTCAAAGTTTGGTTTGTTTGGCTTTACACAAACTAATTATCCTAATTATCTTGACATCATCAAAAACAAATTTCCTAGTTTTATCTTCCCTCTTCATCAACAAGTATTTGACATATTGATGTATAATTACATAACACTTTAAATGATTTTGCAAGTCTTTTTTGTGCATAAAATAAGCTAAGGGATGCTCAACATGAATTTAAATGACATAATACTCATTAAAAGTATGAGATTTAGTTTTACCATCATTATATAAGAAAAAATTCTTAATTTAAAAATGAGTTCTTATTAAATTAATTGACCAAATAACTTCTTAAACCCGATTTTGAGTAGATAAAATAAATGTATGACGTTGTAATTGATGCATCAATTAAAATTATAAAATATATAAATGGTCACATAGTGACTAATATTACCTTATATTAATTCCAAAAATATAAATGCATTTATTTCTTTCTTTCCCAACTTTCTAATGATGATATTATCACTAACTTCCTTTGTAAATATTTAGTACATAATTACAAACATATGGTTTTTAAGTGATTGTATAAATAAATTTATAGATATTTTTTCATAGTAATAAGCTTGGATGGATCAATCACTCATGCCAAACAACAAATTCTTGTGATTAGTAAACTTTTGGTTTACCATGATATACAACAAATTCATGTGATTAAGTAAACTTTTGGTTTACCATGATATGTGATAATACAAATCATAAAAGTTTAATAATTTAAATATATTTTTTTATTAATTATATCGATATGTATGAGTTTATTTTAAAACATATTTTTTATTAAAAATACGATAAATATATACAAGTGAGATATAATCATTTAAATATTGAAGAATATTAAACTAAATTCATATAAATTAGAAAAGTATATTTTAGAAAAGTATATTTCATGTATTACTTTGGTGACATGATTTAAGTTAATCACAATATTTAATAATAATTATAAAATTAACTTATTATTGACTATGTAACAATATTAATTTCAACTAATATTTTTAAAATTTGATAAATTTTATTAGATTTGAAAAAATAAAATATATGTTTAAGTTCAATTTTGCACCATTTTAGTAATAATATATATTTTAATTGGTAATGGTAATTATAATACTAACTTCTCCTATTATAAAAAAACTTGTAAGTATCATATAATAGTTCTTGTAATATTAGTAAGCCACTTCTTTTAGAATAATTATATTAGTCATTCTAAAATAATATTAAAAAATATTATGAAAAAAATTGTTTAAAATATAATTATCTTTTATAAAATATATTATAATAAAATATTTTAGAAAAATAAAAATTAAGTCTTACTAAATATAACATATTTATTGGATATAATTGGATACGTGGATTAAATCATTGTCAAAAATGATTTTAAATATAAAAATATATTTTCGTAATAAATCTTATGTTATTAAAGTAAAACAGAAAATAAAAATAATTGAAAAATAATTAAAACATTTTAATGTATTTGATTGTCAATTAAATTTGATTAAAAATAAATTTAAAATATTTCAAATTCAAATACTCTTAAACAAATAATACAATAAATAAAATATTAATATTCTTTATTATCAAAATGAAAATTTGTTTGATATATTTTTTATTTTTTCATAATGTTTTATCAAAAAATATTTTATAATAATATCTCGTATCATAATAACTAATAATACAATTAAGAGAATGTAGAAAGACATATTTAATTCTACAATAATAACCATAACCAAAAAATATGAATAAACTATTACTACAATCACCTCTTAAAGTGAAACATAACAATAAAATAATTTTCACATTTATAATTGAGAATGACATACTTATATTTCTTTGAATAGAATATAATAAAATATTTTTCACATTTATAAGAATGAAACAAAATAAATTTTATTAGCCTCGTAACTTTGTTTTGTTCGTAAATTTTAAGTGTTAGAAGATTTAACATCCATAATTATACACATAAAATTTAAAATATTAAATTAATAATAACCACATTATATATTTCAAAAGATATAATATATAAAAATAAAAAAATAATTACTTAACTCAATATATTATGAAAAAATATTCATGCATAAAAAAGTAAAAAAAATTAAATATTTAAATTTTGTTATTTTATTAAATAAAATATCTTATTTATTTATATAAAATATAACCTAAAGAATAATTTTACGATACAAATATATAAATTATATAAACAATAATAAAGACTAATAAAATTAATGAATAATTTAATAAATAATTAATAATAACTTATAACAATATTATACTAAAAAAATTACTATGTGGAGAAATTTTAAACTACTAAATATTAATATAAAAAGCATATAAAATTAATAAGACTTGCAAAAATAAAAATATCGTTTTGAAAATATAAAAGTTAAACACACCAATTTAAAGACAAAAAAGAAAAATATATACTAGCAGTAGTGGAAGACTAGTAGCGGTTTGTTTCATAAATTTCGTCAACGTAGGCATTGAGAGTAGTGAGTGAGTGCAGTACCTTTTCGGAACCCACCCACACCTGCACCACTACTTTCTTTTCAGTCTCCTTTTCTCTTCTCTCTCCTCACTCACTCTCTCTCTCTCTCTCTCTCTCAAAAATGGTGGACGGTTTCATTGTTTGCATTGATCGGATTATAGCCTCCACGGCCTGTTTTGGACCAGTCGATGCAAGAAACTTTGATGATGGAGTTGATCCTATAAAACCCGTTTCTAACAATGCTGGAGAAGGGTGCTCCTCTTCTCCAAACAAGTACGATGATGATGATATTGTTGTTGAGTGTAGAATATGCCAGGAAGAAGATCAAGTCCAAGCCATGGAAGCACCTTGTTCTTGTAATGGCACTCTCAAGGTGAGTTTTTCGTCAACTTCCTCTTTCTTTCTTTCCTCGAACCCAGTACCCAAAATAAATAACTCCCTCTACTGTTTGAAAGAATGCAACTTGATTAATAATAACATCAAGTGGTTGTTGGGGTTGTCATGTTTCTTAAAAGTGAGAAAATTTTAGTTTTAGTGAGCAACTTATAGAGCCATGTTGCAACTTGCAAGAGTTGGACGCTTCTGTGGTCTCTGTGTATTGGTATAATGTTCTTACTTGTCCTGTCCCTCCCTTTAAGTAGCACGAGTTTGCAGTGTCTTCACTTGTCTCAATGAAATGACTTCTTGAATTAGCTCAATTGTTGTTATTGAAAGCATTTCTGTCGTGAGTGATCCATGTACATTGTGTTGGTGAGTTTGACGTTGACTGCCCAAGCCTAACACAACCCTCCTCCTTTGTCTAAGATTTGGTCTTTGATTGAGTTGAATTTGGTGTGATCCATGTAGTTGACCTCACTAAGTGGGATAAGGATCTGTATTTGTTGTTGTTGAAAAGCATTCAGTTACGAATCTTTACTTTTGTTTACTCTTGTTGCATTTTTACAAGATGAAGAGGGTTGGTTTTTACTGGGTTGAGAGCTGAGCCAGGATTTGTGAATCTTTCTGGATACTAATGTCGTGGTTGAATTTTGACTTCAAGTTGAATTATAAAAATGTTAGCTCACCATTTTTGGCACGCAGTTTGCTCATAGGAAATGTATCCAGCGATGGTGCAATAAGAAAGGAAATACGATATGTGAAATCTGTAATCAGGTTGGGGCTTTTCCCAACTCATTCATGGTGTTTTCTCTTCATGAGTTGTCTAAATTTTAAATTGAAATCATGAGTTCTCTTTCACTCTTTTTAGGAATTTTCACCAAATTATTCTATTCCACCAGTAAGAAGCAGCGCAATTATGGCAATTGATAGAAGGTAATTTTGAACATGTATTGTACTAACTGATTTATATATATGGCTTCTTCATCATTTCCATCTTCTGAAAGGTTTTGCTCAATGTCTTTGGTTGGTGTGAGCTGAAATATGTAAGTCTGGTATTTGGTTCTAAGAGGTACCTAGGCTGCTTATTCAATTCATAGACTTCATTCTATAATTTTTATTCATATTATTTTTGTACATAGATACTATGATCTTATAGAATTTTACTCCAATAAATTAGGACTAAATAAAGAAAGTTCTGATTATACAATATTTTGTACCGTTATACAAGCCTATAATTTAGCTAATAAAATATCTTTATCCCAACACTCCCCCTCAAGTTGGTAAATGGATGTCATACATTCCCAACTTGTCCAATAATCTTCTAAAAATCTGACTTGTCATAGCTTTGGTAAGAATGTCTGCCAGCTGATCTTCAAATCGAATATTTGACAATTTCAGAATATTTGGCAATTTCAGAATATTTTTATCAAGCTTTTCCTTGATGAAAAATCTATCAACCTCCACATGCTTCATCCGATCATGTTGGACAGGGTTGTGAGCAATGTCGCGCGCAGCTTTATTATCACAATATAACTGAATGTGACGTGTATGTGCATACCCTAAATCTTGGAGAAGTAATCTGAGCCACAAACCTTCACAAAGTCCAAGAACTATTCCTCTAAGTTCAACTTCTGCACTGGATCTAGCTACAACTTTCTGTTTCTTGCTTTTCCATGTGACAAGATTACCTCCTACAAATGTAAAATATCCAGAGGTTGATCTTCTATCATCAAGAGGACCTACCCAATCTGCATCAGTATAAACCATCACATCCTTGTAGTTGGAGTTCTTCTTGAACATAACTCTTTTTCTAGGAGCAGCTTTTATGTACTTAAATATAACAGCATCCATGTGTTTTTCACCTGGATTGTGCATGAACTGGCTAACCACACTAAGAGCATAAGCTAAATCTGGCCTAGTGTGTGAGATATACATCAATCTCCCTACAAGTCTCTGATATATTCCCTTGTTAGTTGGAGTTTGATCTTCTTCAATGCACAACTTCAATCCCTCTTCAATTGGAGAATTTGTTGGTTTGCATGCTGTCATTCCAGTTTCTTTCAGTAAATCCAATGCATACTTTCGTTGTGAAAGAAAAATATCTGACTTTGATCTTGAGACCTTAATTCCAAGAAAATATTTCAAAGGACCAAGATCCTTCATCTCGAATTCATTTGTCAAGTACTCTTTTAATGTCTTGCGTTCCTCTAGATCGTTTCCTGTAACTATCATATCATCAACATAGACAATAAGAATTGTAATATTTCCTTCCTTTTTCTTTAGAAACAATGTATGATCTTGGTTGCTCTGTTGATATCCAAAAACAAGCATTAACTTCGTGAATCTACCAAACCATGCTCGTGGTGATTGTTTTAGTCCATATAATGACTTCTTCAACTTGCATACCTTCTTGCTATGTGTATTCGGGATCCCACATCCTTCTGGTAGCTCCATATAAACTTCTTCAGACAATTCCCCGTGTAAGAAGGCATTTTTTATGTCAAATTGTTGTAAGGACCAATCAAGGTTTACAGCTAGAGATAACAATACTCAAACTATACTAATTTTGGCTACGGGAGCAAACAATTCAGTGTAATCTATTCCATATGCTTGTGTGTACCCCTTTGCCACCAATCTAGCTTTGAATCTCTCAATTGTGCCATTTGCATTATATTTCACAATATACAGCCATCAGCATCCTATTGGTTTCTTTCCAACTGGACAATCTACTAATTCCCATGTTTTATTTCTTTGCAAGGATCTCATCTCCTCATTCATAGCATCCTTCTACCTGGAGTCAGCTAAAGCTTCCTGCACACTGTTAGGAATAGATACAATAGATAATTGACTTATAAATGCAATATTTGAGTTAGACAAATTCTGGTTACAAATATAATACTCATAGCAGTTACAACAACATCAGTTGGATTTCTTTTTGAATTTTTCTTCGATGCTTGATTGTGATCCCACCACTCAAGGTATCTTATGATTTCATAGCATCGTTCCTTGGTGTGTCCATCCTTATTACACTGAGTACACTTGTAGTTACCTTTTTCAAAATCTTTTGATTGCTTAGATTTGCTGTGATGATTTGCTGGCTGCTTCTTTGTTATCATAGTTGTGGAATTATAAATCATATCTTCTGTTTTCAATGTTGTTCGTCGGACTGTCTCTCTCCGGATCAATGCATAGCATTCTTCTAAATCAGGTGTCACTTCCTTGCGCAAGATTTCTCCAAAAACTTGCTCAAAATCATTATCCAACCCAGCAAGGAATATATGCACCCTTAATCTTTCAATGAACTTCTTATATGACTTCACATCATCAGGGTCCTTCATGACTACTTTGTCACGATAGTCCAATTTCCTAAAAATCTCAACCAACTCCCCATAATATTCAGTTAAGGTTCTATTATTTTGTTTTGCAGTGAATGCCCTTTGATTCAGGGCAAGCACCTGTAGCTCGTCACTTCCATCATAAAATGCCTTTGACAAAGCATTCCAAATATCGAGGGCAGTGAGTAAGCGAAGATACATTTTCATAATTTCTGGTTTCATGGACATTAATAGCCATTTTTTCACTTTTTGGTTTTCAGCATACCATTTTTCATATCCCTCATTGTTCTCTATTGGAGGCTTCACCTTCCCACGGATGTAGGACAATTTTTCTCTCTTTGCAATGTGCATCTCCATTAGTTGTAACCATATGTCATAATTGGATTCATTTAGGATGATGCCTACGTTAAAGACACCTTCAGATTGAACAACCATTGGAATTAGTTTTTCTACCATCTCTCCAGTTAAGATCTCCAAGGATTTAGAAAGAAAAAGAAAAAAATTATAAGCTCTGGTACTAAATTGAAAAACATAGAATTTATTCTATAATTTTTATTCATATTATTTTTGTACACGAGATACTATGATCTTATAGTATTTTACTCCAACAAATCAGGACTAAATAAAGAAAGTTCTAATTATACAATATTTTGTACCGTTATACAAACCTATAATTTAGCTAATCAAATATCTTTATCCCAACATATTCTTCATTATTGCGTCGTAGATATGTGCCTAGGAAAGTGATCTTGCATGATATAAAGAAAATCGATAGAATATGGTAAAGAAATTTCGTAGAAGTTGACTTTTTAATAGATAATTTGGTTCAGGAATAAAATGATCTCGCATAGTTAGACCAAGAAGGACCTTGGAGAGAATTATTAAAACAGATATATAGTAATATCTTAATCTCTTTTCATGCAGGGATGAATTTAGATGCATTTTACTACTGTCTAAAATTATTTCCCGTCAAATTATTTTCAAATGTTGTTGTTAGAAATTGCATCTCAACTCAATAAATATATTAGGAACCAATTGGATAGACTTCACAGTAAACCATTATAGAAGAAAATAAATTGAATTAAAAAGAAACATAAATCAAACGGGTCACATGAGTTAATATCAACTCATATTCCTCAACTTTTTCAACATCTCCTTCATCTAACTTCTCCGTATGCTCTTATACACCTAACAAAAAGACACTCATCTATGATAAGCTTTTGATCATTCACAATTCTGCTCTATGATTCATCCCATTTTTAAAATATAAAATTCAAAGTATCGTCAACCTCTTCACCTTCCCCTATCATCATGTAGCAACATATCTGTACATTTTGAAATATTTAGATTCAATTTGCTGTTTGAATTCTGAAGAGGTGATAAGTGAATAAGTTGGTTTTAACATCAGATATTGTCCATTGCAAGGTAACAAGACTACCTCTTTATGGTTGAAATGTCAAATTTCAATTCAGTCGTTCAGCCTACCTCAAAATGAATATTTTCTACCTAACCAAGTTATTAATCGTAGAGAGCTATCTTAGTAACATAGTATTGGCATTTCATTTTAGACATTTTAAAAATTAACTGGAGATCATGCATGTCATTGGGATGTTTGTTGTGTCTACGTTTCTGTTTCAGAACAGTCTCAGTATTGTGGTTGGGTGAATCTCAATCTCAACCAACAGGATTGAGGTTGACAGGTAATGTTGTTAACACATCATAAGCCTGGTGTACATTCCTTGAAGCTATTTTATAAGATGTTATCTTTGTCCTCGCATTAACAACAAATGTTGGCCCTCTCCAATTCTCTACCCTCTAGCCCCTCTCCCCTTTTTTTTTAAATAATCAGAAGTAATTGCTATTGCTAGATGTTATTGCCACTATTCCAAATGGTAGGGTCCACGTCACTATTTTTCTTCTTTCAAATTTCAATAGCTACTACCTGCTAAAGATGTGTAATTTTGTAGATTTATTTTATCCTCTGGCTCTCACCTTTTTCCAATGCTTTCTTTAATACTTATGATTAATGATTGATTTTTCCTCAACTAAGACTTAAATCGTTCCCATATACAGGCAAGAATGGGGACATAATTCTGATCTGCATGTGACTCTAGCTTCAGCTGAGCACCAGTTGCTGCAAACTGATTATGAAGATTATGCCATATCACAAACCAGTTGCATTGCTTGCCTGCGATCTGCCTCTCTCGTGGTAAGGAAACAGATATAACGTGAAAGCATGTGTTGTTTCATCCTTTATGAGAGCTGATGATAATATATTATATAGTTGCTGATAATTTTGCTTGTACGCCAAGCTTTGATGGTCACAAAGAACTCCACAACTGAACAAGATGCAGCAACAATCTTTAATGTAAGTGGCATGTTCTGATAACTTCCGATCTTGCCACCAACACGTGTGTGTTTAATTTGATACCTCTGATTAGGGGGGTCTATATTAGTAAGAATAGAAGTGAAATCTGAGGATTGGAACCTTAGGGCTATTGATAGGAGAAAGTAACAACCACTAATAACGATAAGTATCTAATCAGAGTTATTGTCGATATATGGTAGTTATAAGACAGTCAGGAAAAAAGGGGTTACTTTTGTGATTTGGAGAGTGCACGAAGTCTCTGACACCTGGATATCTGAGAGAGAGAGAGAGAGAGTTCCCACTATACATTCTTCACATCTGATTCTATTCCACATTTCTGCTAAAAAGATTGAGTTTTGTCATTCTTACTGGGGAATAAGTTCATATTTGTGCATTAAAACTTGTTAATCACCAGTTTAATTGCAAATCAAAATCATTATCAATATCATTAAGTTTGATGGGTCAAATGAAATATACATTTTATAACTGAAACTGAAGAACTGAATGCATTCCAATCAATTATCTAAGCTGACGGATTAGCTCTGTGGTTGATATCACTTGGAATCCCAGTTTTGGGTATTTAGAAGTTTCTGTTAGGTTTTTGATAATACTCAAAAGCTACCTATTGTGGAGAGCGAACTAAACACTTAAATATTAGATTAAGCATCTAATGTTACTAAATGTGAGACTTAGGCAACCCACAATACCAAAGTCCCTATCAGTTATGTGCTCAAACATGGCAATGACAATAAGTTAGGCTAGCACTTTAGATAAAAAGTCATTTGGTGTCAGCACAGTAAGGTAGCAAATTAAAAGGAAAAACTCTTTTGAAGATTTTTTCACTGTCACCTACTATTGTTATGCACCAGCACGTTTCGTTGAGTCACATGATCGAAATTCAGGTCTAGAAACCTAATGTGCTGACTCCGGACTTAAATGATTTCGGTCTTTCTCTCATACCATCCGGTCTTTCTAAACTTTCTGCATAGTAAAGGCTAACTTGGCATGGTTAATGGCAGTTTGAGATGTCACTCCTTCAAATTGCTGGTGTTCTTTTGCCATGCTATGCAATGGCACGATCCTGGTATGCGATACAAAACCGAAGGAGAAGACAGGTATGGATTTCGCTGATGCCATTGGAGCATAATGAAATGTGTGTATATCTAGTGAGAACAATTCTCATTTTATGATTGTGAGAATTATATGTTTAGGCCATACAAGTTTACATGGTTAGTCAAGATAAAAAGTTAGTAGTCACATTACCACAAAATCGAAGTTATAATTTAAGTGTACTCATTTTAAAAAAGTAAGTCGATAACTTGCTAACGTCAGTCACTTATTTATTAAAAGTAATTTAGGAAGTTACACTCTTTAGGTATATTTTTTAAGATGATCAAAGTTATAACTATTAATGTACTTTAGAGAAAAGAGTATATGTTAGCAAATTCCATAAAGGATGCCCCAAGATTTGTGTGTATAAATGCTCTGATGATTATTTCTACAGACTCACTTGCTCCAAACCCAGCATCTAATAGATAGAAAAATAAATTGAAGTTTATGTCCATTGCTTCATATACAATGTATCTTTTGCAGGTTTTACGTCTGTGACATAGATGATGCTATCTTCATTGGCTTTCAAGCAGTTATAACAAGAAACAGCATGCCTTTTTGTAGCTGTATATATAGACCATGCCATGGTAAAATACCACAAAATGAAGTGATGTTTCAAAGCAACTTTTTGCTCCTATTTGCTGTGGAAAAGGAAAGGAAAAGAAAATAGAAGTATATCTCAAGTGTGGTGCAGTACTACACAAACGTGAATATTGGCAATCAAATTCATGCACCAATTTACTATTTCTCATCATCATCACGGATATAATTTGTACACTAGCAGATATATCATCTGCAGTAAAGGATTTATAGCTGTAGGAATAGTCAGAATTTATAGTTTTGCTTAGTGTAAGAAGTTTCAATTGATAATCTGTAAACATTATAAAAATGCCTAATGATATTGGTCTCCACTTTTGATAACGACATCTGGTTTAAAATTCTTAACATAAAATTATGACCATGAATAAATTTAATGTAGTGTTTTATTTATTTATTCTGAGGGTGGTCTGTTATTTTTCTATAGGAATCAAATAAGTTCGTTGTTTTTTAGTGACAAGTTGTTGTTCTAACTGATTGCACTCGATTTTCATAATCAAGATCCTCCTCTAATGAAGTTTTGCGAACAGAAAAACTGTGATTGAAAGAGAGTATCTCGGAAAAGGTTGTCAGTAGTTAAGTTTCTATTTTATATTTTTATAGAGGTTAGTCATTAGAGTGAGGCATAAACCAGGACAAAATTTCTACTTACTAAATGTTGGTACTTCATGGGTGATCTCCGAATATGAATATTCACTTTTGATGAGTGAATTACACGATTCATTGAACTCATAATTGGGTCTTGTCTGGTGTGACATATATACTTTACTTTTCAATTGTTGGTCGGTTGGTGTCTTGATTTTTTCCTTGGCAAGAAACAGAAGACCAGGAAAATGGAGAAGATAATCTACTGATCTCTCTTATCTCTCATAGCATTTTACCAAGATCAAGCAGTTGAATTCTCAGGAAGGGGATGTATACCATTTCTTCACCCATTCTCACATGAGGGTACTAGGCCTTGTTAATATATTAAAATGAAAATGAAGTAGTTACAAATGGAGGAAATGGAGCAAAAGGTGTGTGTTGGTTGAGTTGAAGGCTTGTTAATGTTTTGTGGGTAGGTAAACGTCCTTCCTACTTCTAATCATATTCATAAGTATACATACACCATTCACCTCCATAGGATAAGATAGGATAGTTGAATTTTATATTCATAATCATATTCATGTCCTTTTCTATTAATTTAAGTTGTAATTGGATTCTATTATTTTTGGTTTAAGATTCCTTGTTTGGTGCCATAATTCCCGTTGCCTTCTAATAATCCTTAGTGTGATGTACCAACCACCAACTACACAACAATGCCAAGCTTCCACTAATAATCAAATCAAATCTAAATTATCAAACCCACCTTTTCTTCTTCACCTTCTTTTTCCTCTTTTCTTCCCCTATCACCTAGACACTTGATGGATAATCGATTTGATATATATATATATATATATATATATATATATATATATATATATATATATATATATATATATATATAATTAATTAATTAAAAATACACATATCAATAGATTTAGGTTTAATATGATGAGTTCAAATGTAACAAATTTAAGATTCTTTTTTTTTTTAAATGGGTGTATATATTTAAAATCTGATTATTCTTTGAACAAGTTTTTTTTTTTTTGAAAAAATGTAAATAATATCTTAAAATATACTATTATTCAGTGAAATTATAATCACTTTTCTCTGAGTTTAATTAAATCGAGTGCTATATATATTTTTAATAACACTGTCATTATAAGAATTCAATTATAAATATTGCCTTCTTAATTAATTTAAAAGCTTTATGCAACTTTAAAACAAAGTAATGACCTATTATTATTATTATTATTATTCATCTCGCAAATAATTTATCTATTTCAAAATTATTGATATTTAATGCTTTTCTAAAAACACTAATAAATAAGTTACTTATTAAAATAACTTTACTTTCTATAAATATATTAAATGTAACTATTATGTTTATGGTTGAAAATTTTGTAATTGATGGACATGTTTAGTTTCACTTTTTTTTTTTCAATCAAGTGTGTATATTGACATGAAAATCCAAAATTAGACGTGAATTTAAACATTCATGTAGTTTATTTGAAAACAACTTTAGAATACAAATTGTGATACCTTACAGAAACATTAGTGAATGCAACTTTTTTTAATGATTAAATATGAATGATTTTAAATAGGATGGAATATCTTAACACATAAACTTAATATTCTTCTAAATGACCTATGATATTCTTCTAAATCATTTAAAATACTTAAAAATATTGAAAATTGTGAAGTATTTCTCAACTTTCGTTTACAATATATTTTTAACTTAATTCTTCTTAAGCACATTTTTTATATAATCAATATTATTCCTATTCAACCAAAATTCATTTAATTTCAGTATTAAAGATCAAGTTTATTTTAATACGAAGAATAAAAGTTTAGTAAGAGGAGGTTTGATATTTTACTAGATAAGTTAAAAAGATTATAAATAAAAAATTTAATTATTTAAATTTTATTAGTAAAAAAATTGTTATCTTTCTAAATTTTCATTCTTTGTTTATAGATTTTCTCATTTCTCTTTTATCTTTTTCTATATTTAAGTATATTTCAATACTTTAAAGTGGAATACAACCATTTTGTTCTATTAGAAGTGAAAATATATTTTTCTTTGTCTATTTTAAAAGAATTTTTCATGTAGGATTTAGGATTTTGCATGTAGGGTAAGGATGTTTGCATGTGTAATTTCTCTAACAAATATGAATATTGACTAGTGTAGGATTATAGTAGTATGTTCAATTTGTTGATTAGAGCTTTTGGTGAGCAAGATTGACTTCTTGAATGGTTTGGACCTTTGGAGCTTTAAGAACTTGAATTTGGGAAAAAGGCAAAAAAGGTAAGTGATTAGTTCCTAAGAATCCTGAAGGAGGGAGAGATTATTCTTAGGAGAATTACTAGAAGCATGACTAAAAGGGAAACCTCCTCCTCATCTTTATCCATTAATTTATTTAGCATTTTTCCTTTTCTTTTAATTTCCTAGACTCATGCTTAATCTTGATTTTGTAGGATTACTTAAGGACACATATCTTTTGAAGTCCACCACCTTTTTTGGAGGAAAGTAGTCTTTGAAACATGGACTAACCATAAAGGAAGATAAGGTTAATCATTAACTTTTTAGATGAGAAAGGTCACGATCTTAGTGGACAAGGTAAGGGTGCAACCCCTTCTAGGTTAAAATTTGGGCAATATTTGTTTCTAGAATCCCTAGAATAATTCCCTCGATGTCCCTTACCCATGCTTATATATGGAAGGCTCCCCACCTCTTATAAATGGTTAGAAGTTGAATAAAAGTTTGAGAGCTCTTCTCTTTGAGCATTTTTCTTCACTTAGTCTCATCTTGAATCTTGATTCAAGTAACGACAACTACCACTCATCTTGGGTTGGTTCATCCCCCAAGTAGCGTGCCAACACTTCATTCTCACCCCATTCTTCACTTCTCCATTCTATTTTCTTCTCTTCCTTTTCTTTATTGTCGTGGTTAATCCTTCATTTCCAGCCTTGTTATTGTTGTTTTCTTGCTTTGTTTCCTCTCTTGAATCCTTGGAAGTCAACCTCTACACCTACATAAATGATTATCTTAGTGTCCAGTGAGAATCTTCTTGGATTTTCTCTTATTATCTCAAATACCTTATATGCTTAACTTAAAAATTGCATTATATCAGTAAAGGACGTTAGTTTTTTCAATAATCATAACACTTTAGGCTAGAGGACCTCCATGTGGTAGAATGACTTGATCAAAATTTAAATTGTTTTAAATTTGTTTTAAGCATGTTTATGATGGATATATGGGAATATAATTAGGATAGTAAAATGTATTTTGTTTTGGAAAAAATTCTAAGATAAATTTGCTTAAAAATGAATTATGTGTCTTTTAACTTAGAAAATTATGCAAAGTTTGATATTTACACAATTTTTGCTCAAGTGAGAGATTTTCGTTTGAGCAGTGAGACTTCTAAAATAGAAGTTAATATTAGGTTGAATTTTGCTCAAATGAGAAATTTTAGCTTAAACGAGAATATTCTAGTGGTATGAGATTGACTATATTGTATTTTCACTCAAGCAAGATACTAATCGCTAAAACGAAGAGATTTCTTGCTTTAACAACAATATCTTTACTTTAGTGACAATCTATGATGATAGAAATGTAATTTTAAATGATAGGTTATAAATATGACTTATACCTATCATTGAATACACAAAGAGGGGTTATCAAGTATAATTATTTATATGTGTGTGTGCTTATCTATGAGTGGCGGATCTTCTTCGGAGCTGAGGGCCGTGGCCCCCCAAAGTTTTGTAACTCCCATGTAATTTATGATTTTGGCCCCCCAAACTTAATGAACATTTAATATATTTACTTATATATTTACAATTTTATCAGCCCCTCCTTAGTTTTGTAACTCTCATATAATTTATGATTTTGTCTCTCTCTAACTTAATGATCATTTAATATATTTAAGTATATATTTACAATTTTATCCTTTTACCCTTTCATCTTCTTTCTTCCTTTTATATTTATTTATTATTTATTAATAATATATTATTTGGCCCCCCAAGATCAATGGTCAAGATCCGCCACTATGGTGAAATGAGATGTTGTATTTATGAAAAAATGAATAATATGTTATAGTATAATGAGTACTAGGAGGAATTCATATATAAGTATGGTGTGGTATTTGGCCATTAAGGATTCATTATGAGATATACTAACTTTACCAATAACTTGAATCACATAGGTCAAGGAATCAAGAGGTCAAAATTGAATGAATAATGGAAACCCAACAATTTCATATCAAGGATTTTCCTTTTAATTAATCTAGGGCTTATATTAGCTAGTAACAAGTAAGTTC